ATCCGTACTTTTATCTGATGACTGCCTATCAGCATCCCTAAGATGATCTGCCCAGGCACTTCTGCCTCTTCAAGCATAACCATGATTATTTTGCCACCTAAAAACTCTCCTTCCCGCATGCTCTCGCAACGCTCTCAGGGTTGCATCAGCCTGGGAAGCATAAGCAGATGAAAGGCTGGGCAGAGTATTAAGGAGCAACAGCCCTCAACACCCTCCAACTTACTTTGCAGCTCCCGCTGATTGGTGTCCCCGGGCTGATCAAGCCCCAGGGGATGTGGGTGAGCGCCCAGCTCTGCCCTGGGCTCTCTGTGAGCGGGACTGGGGGAAAACTGCTGTTGTGCTACTAAAAGGCTCTTACACCACGGGGGCACGAGCACCCGCTGTGCAGGGCGGGTGGCAGGGCCGGCACAATTTGGTCTCCGCTGCCCAGCGGAGCCAGCTCCCCCTTGCTCCTCCTTCCTCCTGATGCCCAACACGGGAGCTGGCAGAGCTGCCCTGTTTGCAAACCATTAGCATTTAATCCAGGACAGCAGAGATAAAGCTGGCATCTCACGAGCAAGACGAGGTCCTGCACATAAATACAGAGCCGTAAGTCTGCCCTGAGCCTGCCAGCAGCTGCTGAGCCCCTGGAACATGTTTCCAGACCTTCAGCTATGAAGACACGTGCCCTTCGAGGTGGCCTTGGACTGCTGGAATCGAACTGCAGCAGATGCTCTTCTCGCATTGCGCTGGACACCCTGCCCAGTGCTACTACCCTCAGAAAACCCCTCTGCATGCCCCTCCCCCCAAAAAACCCTGTGGCAACTGTGACTGCCAGCTAGTTATTTTCCTTGGCTTTTTACACAGCCCAAGTGAGGCTATTCCTGGTGGCTTGTTTATCCTCCACCAACCAAAATGCACTCCTATCTGAGGTCTACTTGGGTCCTTAAATAGGTCATTTTTACACAGACCTGAAGCTTGTCTGCAGAGAGGAGGTGACCAAACCCTGTTTGCACCCGTTGCCCACCCCTCAGCCTTCTCCAGGCTCTGGAACAGTCCTTCAAGTTACTGCTGTGAAAGTCAGCCAGCCTGTGGGACAGCCCACTGGCAACGATGCACTGGAAAGAAAACCCCTCAAAACCCTAAACTTTCCATATCTTAAAATTGAACAGATTAGAACTCGAGCAGCAGCCAGGACGTGAACTGCACAATGCACTTTGCATATCACATTGAAAGCTAAAGATGCCTGACCACTGCCACAAGAAAAATCCAGTTTTCTCAAAGGACTTCTCAGTTTCTCACTGGTTTGGTGCTGAAAAGTACAGAGGAGGAAAGGGCTGAAAATATTCTTTACCCCTGTTCATCCTTCTCCGTGCCCAGAAGGCCAATATAAATGATAGCCCAGCCACACGTCACTGGACACATCTTACACTGCTTCTCTCAGTCTTCTCTCATGGTACCCTTTCTGCCCCTTTCAATGATCTTAAGTTTTTGCATGTACTTTACAGCCAACTCTTTCATACCACATTTCAGTGTTCCCATGAACTCTGGCAATGGCTGAGTTGTATGCCTTGGCTTGGGTGGGATTCCTTCAAGCATCTCCCAGCTCCATGAACTAAAGGAGTTCGTGCTTTAGCCCATTTGTTTAAGCATTGGCCCATCAATTAACTATCGCCTGGGCTTTGCTACTTTTAAATTGCTCTCTCCTATGCCCATTCTGGCTTGGTCACCCTTTTCACCAGCTTCAGTCCCAAACCACGTGTCACTGCCTATATCCTGGGCACCAGCGCACATTTAAACCAGGTACGAAAATACCTCCTAACAGGAAAAAACTGTGGGATGTGTGCTTTGAGAGCAGTGCTCCGTTCTGCTAGAAACTGGAGCATGCTGCCTTCTGCGAGAGAGGAACCATCGCCCTTCAGGAGCTCAGGGGCAGGACAGGAGGCAGGCAGTGGGCTCTAATGACAAATCCATTTCCATCCCACCTCCACACGTGTGTCCCAAGTGCTGTGCACACCCAGCGCCCTGCCGCTCCCCAGGCAGGGGCAGCAGCAATTGGATTTTGATGCTTCAACAAGGCCCGTGGCAACAGGGGGCTGGCAGCGACCTGCAAAACGCTGACATTGCTCCTCCCCAAGTGGCGAAGCTGGAAGCTGAGCCTGCCCTGCTGCTGTCACCATGAGGTGCCTTTTCCCTTCCTCCATCCCTCCCGTATGTTTTTATGGCTTCCCGAAGTAAAAAAGGATACGTGCACCTTACCCGTACCTAATTTTTTGAATCCTTGAACGGGTGCTCACCGCTTAACAACCCCTCCCTCCCCGCTTATCACCAGCGCTGCTGCTGCAAGTGGTGGGAGAGCCCAGCCTGCTCGGACGGGACCGAGCACCACTCCTCCAGAGCAAGGCTGCTAAAATCCACTCAAGTTCTTCCAGCCCGTGGGCTCCACCCCAGACCCAGGGCGACAGCTCCTGCGGGGCTCAGGGGTTGTCCCCACGTTCCTAGCCTAGACATGTGGCTACGCCGCGCCCCACCCCACCCCACCCAACCTCCCGCAGCGTGGGCTCTGCCCCGGGTGCCGCGCGGAGGCTGCTCTCCCTCTCCACCTGCTATTTTCTTCAGCTTTGCACGTAGCTCCTGGCACCGACGAGGAAATCTGTCATCTCCCCCCTCCGCCCCCCCAACCTTTTTC